TCATGTTGTGGTTAAAAAATGCAATAGTTTTCTTCACACACACACAAAAAAAAAAAAAAGGAATAAACTTGAAAGTAGTGATAGGAGAACGAAGGATGATCGTTGTGGGGGCCTTTGAATGGAGGACTTGGTCCCATTTCATGATTCTAACTTTGCTACTAAATGATCCTCTGATGCTTAAGAAAGATGACCTAGTATCTTAAACTGTAGCATAAAGTGCTCCAGCCATGACATGCTATAAATTTGGAGTGTATTTTGTTTGGCTGAAAGTGTAGAAAATATAAGAAAAATGAAAATTTCTAGGAAATCTTTTATAGAAGAATTAGGAGGTTGAAGATGAAGAATTCTTCAGAGAAAATTGTTTTCTGCATGAATAACCTATTAGATCTGGCAAAAATGAAGCAAAAATAAAAAATATATATGCAATGGCATTTTGGTAATTTTGGGTTGGTGGGCCAGAGTAACCCAGTCAATCAATGGTTAGATTTGGGTGGTATGAGGATAGGTATCAAGTTTTGGGAGGATCTGAGCAATGTTTGACGGCTTTGAAGTAGAATTATGAATTATCTAGTGTCTTCAACGACAGATTGTTGGTTTGTTAGAGCTTTCCCATTCTTAGCAATCTCCTATTCATACAAAATACCATATTTGGTATGCAATTGAGCACTGATGACAAAACCACCTCTGTCCAAGATTTTGATGATTTTCCCAAGTAAAATGTGATCTTTTTCACCAATTTCCCATGCAATAAAACTTGTGCAGTGGCCCAGACATTAAATATAATTGCAAATTGGTAGTGGAGACTTAAATTGAATCTTTGGTCGATTTTTAATAAGATTTGAGGCCTTCTAATAAGCATTAAACGATGTAGTTTTGCAATCAAGTTTTGCCTCTACGCTTTTGCCGCCCAATCCTTCTTGGCGAAGACGAGCAACATCATCAGCCCTAACCTTGGCTGGTACAAATCTTCAGGTAAGTAATGTTCATACATGCATTCTTGCCAAGCAACTACTCCCATAGTTTATCCCAAATAATCTCCACGAGCTTAGATTTATGGGTTTGGGTTTATCTGCATTAAAAAGACAAAATATGAGTGAGTATTTGTTCAAATGTATTAGTATGAAATGTATTTGTCAAAAAGAAAAACACTATCTTGTGTATCTTTATCCACTAGCCATAGGAAGCACTTGTATAGTATTGCTGTGTATGTCTGATGATGCGCCAAGATAAAGAATGAAAAACAGAGATGTATGCTACAATATCATTTTACTAAACTAAGCACCGCTAATCAATGATACTTGCCAACATGTTAAAATTTAGTAGAAATTTGTTGTAAGTCGGGATTACTAGCGACTTGTAATTTTGTTCCTTTGTATAGAAAGAATAATGATGTGCATGACCACTAGCCACATTGTATAAATATCACAGGGTTAACCATGAATAAATTTCCCTTAGTAGAGGGACAATAGTGGCTAACTTTGTCCATGGCTAAAGCATTAACTATGTGGAATTAGAAAACCATTCCCAATAATCTACCACAGCTAGAGGGACACTAATGGCTAACTTTGTCCATGGCTGGAGCGTTAACTATGTGGAATTAGAAGAGCATTCTTAATAATCTGCTAAGTCGCAAAAGGATAAATCTCATCAATCCAAAACTCTAGGATAGCGATGAAAATATGATAAATATAATGGAGTGTTATCCATAGAAAGGGGATGCCAACCACATCCATGGTTTCTGATATGAATAAGGTGTGATACCACGATGAAATGATGGCCCTTCTTATTGTACCTACACTATCAGAGAATGGTCTTGGTTACTTTTGCCTGTTGGGCACCGCACCACCATGCACAAGTGACCACCATGGAGCTGCCAACCATAACTTGATGGATTTTTATTGCTGGAGGGTAACTATCCCAATCAATTACAGGGTTGCAACTATTACTGGCTTCACACTAATTGTACTGAGTTGTGTTGACTTTTTGTCCATTTTTATGAGCCAATAAAATGAAATAAGTAGAGAGAAATCCAACCCTTTGTCCATTTCTAAGAGCTAGTGTAATAAAAATTTGTAGAAATGTGTAGTTTTTTGCCCATCTCCAAAGGCTAAATAAAATAACAAATTTGGCCTTTTATCCATTATTAGGAGCTGTGAAATGTAACAAAATCAGCTTAATGTCTGTTGATGGGAACCAATGATAGAGATATGTAAAATAACAAATTTGGCCCTTTATCCATCATTGAGAGCTATATAGATGTAATAAAATCAAACCATTGTCCTTTGATAAGAGCCATGTAGATGTAGTAAGATAGGCCCTTATCCATTGTTGGGAGCCAATAAGATGTAGTAGCAAATGTTGTAGTATAAATCGTGGACATCACCAATATCTAGTCATGTCATAAAGATAGATGTAGCCAAGTTTGCCCATGTATATGAAGATAGATGTTAAAGTAAATCATATCTGTAATGTTCCCAGAAAAGTGGGTAAGTGTTGTTTTTAGCGATGCTGACCCCATTGTGGCCATCAATAGAACATAAGATACAACCTGTTTGATGTGGAAATAGATCATGTAAGCCCTTCCTAGTCACAAGTCCAAAGCTAGTCATGCTAATGTGGCACTACACAATTCTGAATTCCAAGGCAATACAAATTCATCCTTCAATAATCACACAAGTATGTCTACTAATAACTCTATTTCTACTCCTTTAATTCCTAAGCAGAAGTTGACTACATATGATAGTCTTCCTTACACTAATTCTGCCTAGTATTATAACATTATTAGTGCCTTCCAATATTTGTCTTTTACTCACCTTGATATTGCATTTACTATGAATCAGGTATGTTAGTGTATGCACTATCCAACTAAAAATCACTTTCAAGCTATGAAATGAATATTGCATTATTTGAAGGGTACCTTGCGTATGTCTTCAGTTATTTCAAGATTCCTCTCCATTTTTGCGCATATATACTAATGTAGATTAGGCAAGATGTTTAGATTATTGTCGTTCTACTTCTAATTATTGCTTATATTTTGGTCAATCTCTTATTTCCTGATCATTGAAAAAGCAGCATACTATTGCTCGTTCTAGTGTGAGGCAAAGTACCATGCCATGGCTAATGTTATTGTTGAAGTGCTTTGGGTTCGAGAGTTATTAGTTGAATTACAGATTTTTCTTTCCTCTTCACCACTACTCTATTGTGATAATCTTAGTGCCATATATATGTCATTTAATCCAGTCCAGCATCAACAGACAGAGCACATTAAAATTGACATTCACTTTGTGAAAATTTTGCATATCGTGCTATTCTTCCACAATAAGTTCCTTCCTCTTTTTAGCTTGCAAATATTCTTACTAAAGCATTATCTACATCAGTCTTTTCTTCTTAGTGCTCTAATTTGAACATGCTTTGTTACCCCACACAAATTACGGGGGGATGATAGTGTATTATATACGAGTGTAGATGTGTAATTTAGTCTATATACTTGTATATACTCATATAAATATTGTAACCTATTTGATAATAATGTAATAGTATTTTCTAAAAGATTCTCAAGTGGCTTTG